GGCAGCTGTCTAAGATACTCCACTGGTCTCACCCCTTCAGGAGCAAGGGAGAATGAAGAGAACAGGATACAAGGAAAAGATTAGTGCAAAGGACTAACGGACCACAACAACCACGGCCTCCACCAGACTGAGTCTAGTACAACTACATTGTGCCCGGCTACCACCACCAACTGCTCTGACCAGGATCACAATAGAGGGTCCTGGACAGAGCTGGAGAATGTAGAACAAAATTCTAACTCACAGAAAGAGACCAGATTACTGGCCTGACAGAGACTGGAGAAACCCCAAGAGTATGGCCCCCGGACACCCTTTTAGCTCAGTGGTGAAGTCACTCCCGAGGTTCACTGTTCAGCCGGGGATTGGACAGCCTCATAAAACAAAATGGGACTAATGAGGCACAGCAGTTCAGGGACAAGGACTAGAAGGCAAGAGGGGACAGGAAAGCTGGTGATAGGGAACCCAGGATTGAGAAGGGACAGTGTTGACATGTCATGGGGTCATTAACCATTGTCATAGGGCAATATGTATACTGTTTAATGAGAAACTATTTGTTCTGTAAACCTTCATCTAAAGTACAAAAAAAAAAAAAATTATCTATGTGAGACCAAATTGACAACAGCAACTCAAAAGGTTTGATGGGAAGCCTAGGGGGCAGTGAGTTGAAGATAATGGTGATGGAATAATTTGGAAAAGGATAGTGAGAATAGCAGCACAACTGGAAGAACGTAATCAATGAATCAATGTCACTGAATTGTACATGTAGAAATTTTTGAAATGGTGTATCTTTGGCTGTGTATATTTTCACAAAAAAAAAAAAAAAAAGGTCGAGAAGGGAGAGTGTTGACATGTCATGGGGTTGGAGACGGGAGAGGGTTGACATGTCATGCTGTAGTTAACCAGTGTCAGAAAACAATGTGTGTATTGACTGTTTAATGAGAAACTATTTGTTCTTAAACCTTCATCTAAAGTGCAATTAAAAAAATTTAAAAAAAAAAAAGTACCTAGATCAGATGTGAAAAAACAAAACAAAAAAATCGTTACAAACCTTACAGAACTTAAAAGAATAATAAGGAAATTTTATGGATAACTTTATGCCAATATATTTGATGTTAGATAAAAGAATTCCTCAAAAGACACAAGCTACCTAAGTCTACCCAGAATAACAGGCAATCTGAATTTTACTCTATTAAAGAAATTGAACTACTAATTTAAAAAATATTCCCACAAAGAAAACTCCAGGTCTAAATGACTTCACTAATGAATTCTACCGAACATTTAAGGAAGAAATAATACCGATTCTACACAAATGCTTGTAGTAAACAGAAGAGAGATCACTACCCAACTCATTTTATGAGGCCACCGTTACCTAGATACCAAATGAGACAAAAATATTAGAAGAAAAGAAAATCACACCAATATCTCTTATGAACCTAGATGCAAAAATCATCTTTAAAATTTAACAAATCAAATACAGCAATATATAAAAAGGATAGTACATCATGACTAAGTGACTTTTTTGGAAGCTAGCTGCCATGCTGTAAGGAAGTCCAGGTCACCTGGAGAGGTCACATGTAGGTGTTCCAGTTGGAATATGTAACAGCTGATATTCCAGCTAATAATTGGCACCAACTGCCAGATGAATGTATAGCCTTCAAATGATTCTAGCCTCTGGCTTTAAGGTCACCTCCCAGACACTAGGGAGCAGAGGTGAACCTTCCCCACTGAGCCCTGCATAAACAGCAGATTTGTAAGCAAGAAGATTGTTATTTTAAAAACAGCTTTACTGAGACATAAAAATTCACATACCATACAAATCATCCGTTTAAAGTGTATAACCCAGTATCTTTTAATGTATTCAGAGTTGTACAACCATCACAATCAATTTTAGAACATTTTCATTAACCCAAAAAGAAACCCTGTACTCATTAACAATCACTTTCCATTTCCCCCAGCCCTAGACAACCAGTAATCTATTCTCTGTTCCCACAGATTTGCCTATTCCATGCATTTCATATAAATGGAAGTATATATTATGTGGTCTTTTGTGACTGGCTTTTCTCTGAACATGGTATTTTCAAGGTTCATCCATGTTGTAGATGTGTCAGTACTTCATTCCTTTTTATAACCAAATAGTATTCCATTCTATGGATATACCACATTTTATTTATTCATTTGTCAGTTGATGGGCATTTTAGTTGTCCCTGCTTTTTGGCTCTATGAATAATGCTATGAATAATTGAATACAGGTTTTTGTGTGGACATATATCTTCATTTCCCTCGGGTATATACCTAGGAGTGGAATGGCTAGGTCAGATGGTAAACTGTTTAACCTTTTGAGAAACTGCCGGGTTTTCCAAAATGGCTGCACCCGTTTACGTTCCCACCAGCAACGTAGAAGGGCTCCACTTTCTCCAAATCCTCTTCAACCCTTGTCATTGTCTGTCTTTTTGATTAGTCACCCTAGTGGGTGTGAATAAGTATTTGCTCAGCATGTTGTTGTTAGGTGCCATCGAGTTGGTACTGACTCATAGTGACCCCATGTACAACAGAACGAAACACTGCCCAGTCCTGCACCATCCTCACAATCCTTGTTATGCTTGAGCCGATCGGTGCAGCCACTGTGTCAATCCATCTTGTTGAGAGTCTTCCTCTTTTTTGCTGACTCTCCACTTTACTAAGCATGATGTCCTTCACCAGGGACTGGTCCCTCCTGATAACATGTCCGAAGTAAGTGAGACAAAGTCTCGCCATCCTCGCTTCTAAGAAGCATTCTGGCTGTACTTCTTCCAAGACAGATTTGTTCATTCTTTTTGCAGTCCATGGTATATTCAATATTCTTTGCCAACTCCATAATTCAAAGGCATCAATTCTTCTTTGGTCTTCCCTATTCATTGCCAAGCTTTCACATGTATAGGACGCGATTGAAAATAACCATGGCGTGTACTTTGGTGAGTGGCGTCTATGGTCTTAAAAGCTAGCGAGCGGCCGTCTAAGATGCATCAGTTGTTCCCAACCCACCTGCAGTAAAGAATGAAGAACACCAAAGATACAAGGAAAGTGTTAGTCCAAGAGACAGAAAGGGCCGCATAAACCAGAGACTCCATCAGCCTGAGACCAGAACTAGATGGTGCCCAGCTACCCCCACTGACCACCCTGACAGGGAACACAACAGAGAGAAAAGTGGGGTGCAGAACTAAAATTCTAGCGAAAAGTCCAGACTTAATGGTGACTGAGACTGGAGGGACCCCGGAAGACATGGCCCCTGGTCTCTCTGTTAGCCCAGAACTAAAACCCTTCCTGAAGCCAACTCTTCAGACAAAGATTAGACTGGACTATGGGACATAAAATGATACTCGTGAAGAGTGTGCTTCTTAGCTCAAGTAGATACATGAGACTAAATGGGCAGTTCCTGTCCAGAGGCGAGACGAGAAGGCAGAAAGGGATAGGAACTGGTTGAATGGACATGGGAAATCTGGGGTGGAAATGAAGAGTGTGCAGTCACAATATAGGGAGGGCAACTAGGGTCACATAAAAATGTGTGTATAAATTTTTGTATGAGAAACTAACTTAAACTGTAAACTTGCATGTAAAGCACAGTAAAAAAAAAGAAAAATATAATTTTAGCTCTTACATTTAGTTCTTCGATCCATTTTGAGTTAATTCTTGTGTATGATGTGAGGAAGGGATCCAACATTCTTCTTTTGTATGTGAATATTCAGTTGTCCCAGCACCATTTGTTTAAAAGATTATTCTTTCTCTGTTGAATTGTCTTGGCACTCTTTTCCAAAATCAATTGACAGGAAATATAAGGGTTTACTTTTGGACTCTTAATTCCATTCCACTGATTTATCCTTATGGCAGTATCATATTGTCTTGATTACAGCAGCTTTTGAATCGGGAAGTGTTTCGAATCCTCCAACTTTGTTCATTTTCAAGATCATTTTGGCTAGTTTGGATCCCTTGAATTTCTAGATGAATTTTAGGATCAGTTTGTCAATTTCTATAAAAATGCCAGCTGGGGTTCTGATAGGGATTGTGTTGAATCTATAGGTCAACTTGGGGGATTGCTACTGTTTTAAGCAACTCAATTTCATGGTGGTTTATTGTGCAACAATAAATGATACACCACCCCTCTTGGGGAAGCATCCATTTTGCTATGGATGAAGACAAAGGAGGGTGACTTCTTTCTATAAAGAATAAAATCCTGTCTGTAGGTTATCTTCCCCTAGACAGCAAATGGGACTTTTCTTAGAACAAAGTCTTTTGGATTTGTGCTTTTGTCTGGATTTCCTGGCTGAGCCCCTTTGATCACTTTGAGACAGCTCCAGGGGCTGCCTGCTGTTTGCCCCACCCCTCACCCAGGGCTGGACTGACTTTGCTGCACTGGGAATGGTCAAACAGCAACCACTTCACTCAAGATTTCTTTTCTTCTCCAGCCTCAGGTGCCTCAAGCCTGGAGTAGGGATTTGCTGAGGGAAATGGGCACTTGGCTGCCCTTGTCCCACCCTCCCCAACAACCAAAGAAAGCCCAGAGCCAGGTGTGAGAATCTTATGAATGTTAAGAAGACAGGAGGCTTTAGCTAAGATAAGAGTAAAACCACTCCTGGAGTTGAGAGTGAGTGAAGAGCTAAAAATGTTGCACAGTCTCCTGGGAGGTTTGACTCTTCTCCTTGGTGATGTTGCTAATATTTGCCCAAATGATTTCATTTCTACGAATTTAGTGAGTGCATTTCTGAATGAGAAAAATCCAGCTTAGGGTGTATGGCCATCTTTTTTCTGTCTTATTTATAAGAGTGAGAGCTACCTCAGGCCCCACTCTTGAGAGGTCAGGCTGGATTCAAGACAAGGGACTGAGGAGACCCTTGGAAGGGCAGTGTGCCCCTGAGATCCTCCCACTACCTTTGCCCTTTGAAGACTCCAGCTCATAGTTCTGCCCCTTTCTCAGCAAGCCCCCAGGCATGATGGGAAGCAAGTTTAAAGCAGCAGAGGAGACGATTTCCTGGGTTTCACTCCAGGCCTCGGCTACAGCCAGGCCAAGCGCCTGCTTTATTCAGACACGAAAAGCCTCAGTAAAGCTCAACCTCAGTCTTTACACACTGTGAAGGCAACAGAGAGCAAGGCAGGAATCTAGAAAAATAATACCTGGTTCAAGAGAATTAGGAAAATCCACGCTAAATCAGCTTAAGGCAGGGACCTGGCCAGAGTGAGAGAATGGAAGAGGTGACAGAAGAGAAAGAACTCTTTTGCCAACTTCAGCCATGTTGGGAACTAGCGGAAGTAGTTGGGACATTCATGGGCAACCAAATGCCAGGCTTGGTTAAAGGCATCCACGATAGCAGGCTCCAGGGAACCTTCCTCACTGGCCGCCAAGTTCTGCTCCAGCTGCTCCAGGCTCGACATACCCAGGATGACCGCATCCCCACGGGCACCCTGAAAGGGGAGATGTCAACACGCTTCTGCTTCACAGTGACCCCAGTCACACACACCGCCTCCCAGCTCTGCCCTGTCAAGACTTAGGATCTGGTATTTATTTATACCGTATATAGTTCCAGGAGGAATATAAGGTGCTTTCAACAGTTGTAGCTGTGTGATTCTAAATCCTGTATTCTTTCTCCCTACTGTCACACTGCCACAACCTCAGACAAACCTGAGCTAAGAGCCCAGTTCTTCCCCTCAGCAGCTGTGTAAATTTGGCATAGTGACTTAACCTCTCTGAGACTCAGTCTTCCTCTCTATTTTGCAGGGTGGTGATGGGAACAAAAAGATGTAAAGCATTTAGCTCTCCTTTACTGAGCACCTACTATATGCCAGACACTATGCAACTGTGTAAGGCTGAAGCTAGAGAAAACCTGGGATGCCAAGAGAGAGGCAAACCCCTCAACTGCCAACGCACAGAGGAGTGAGACTAGTGGGTTTTGATTTAAACCTGTGTTAAATTTTCTACTCCCTTAGTAGCTGTGTGGACCCCAGTCTGCTTGTGATGGTTAAAATTGTGTGTCAACTTGGCTGGGCCATGATTCTCCATGTTTTAATGTAATCACTCCCCATGATTGAATATACTGTGAGCAGCCAATCAGATGAAAGGGAGTCTCCTTCGGGGTGTGACCCGTATCTGTATATTAGCAGCTGTTCTGGCTTTTTGCTCTCTCTGGATCCTGCGGCTGCTTCCTGTCGTCTCACCTCCCGTTCTTGGGACTTGAGCTGTCAGCTTATCTTCCGAACCTGGGATTCGTCGACTGCACAGCCTGTGAGTGGGAGCCCTGCTCTCCGACCTTCCTATCTTCGGCTTGCCAGCTTCTGCAGCTGTGTGACTTGGGAGAGGGCTCTACCCTGATCCACGGACTTGGGACATTCTAGCCTCTACAATCGCGTGAGCTGTTTTCCTTGGTGTAATCTTTCTCCATATATATATTTATATATTTTACTGGTTTTGCTTTTCTAGAGAACCCAGCCTAAGACACTCCTCATTGGTAAAACTGGGATAATCATACTTCATAAGGCCTAAGTAGTAATTAAATCCAAGTTTGTAAAGCCCTTATCACAGAGCAGGTCCTTAGTTAATTGCTAAGAACAATGAGAGGACTGCCCATGAAAACTACAACAGAGAAATTTTAGAAGAAAAGATAAAACTGCTTAGAAATCACCAAGTAAAGGTGTTTCTGGCTTCCCTGAAATGGCAGAAGCTAAGCATCCAGGACAGCTGGTTTACCTGGAGCTGGGAGTGGTGGTACATCCACCGCAGGGCGGCCGAGGTCATGCTGGGGGCACTGGGGCCGTAAGCAGCCTGCAGGGCCTTCTCCACCAGGGCAATGGCCTTGAAGTGGTGCTCCTTCCAGAAGCTGGGCAGGTGGGGAGGGTAATACAGAGATCAGTACTGTAGGGGCCACTTTGGGGACCACAGCCAAAGAGCCAACCAGGGCAGCTGCCCACCCCAAACCCTGCAGCACTGGAGGGCCAGTGTCCTCTCTAGCAGTGGTTCTCCTACTTTATTGGGCATCAGAAGCACCCTAGATGCTGATTCCTTTACCAGGGACACTGCGGACATCTTTATTCCTAAGAATTCATAAAAGCTGCCCTTGTTTTACCTAGTGAAACAAAGGTAGCTACACAGGTGGCAGGACTCATCCCCAGCTCATGCCAGAGTTCTTCCTTTCCCTCTTGGCAGGTGACAAGCACTGCTCAGGGTAGATTTACAACTTGGCAGAGTTGGCATAAGGTCTAGGGATCCTCATTTCCCTGCCAAGGCCCCCAAAAGGAGAATAAACCCCATAATAAGTTTGGTAATTCTAGCAGGAATCAAGAGTTACAGGCCTGGACACCCAGGAAAGCAGCCTAGAGCTTCTCCATGTCAGAAAAAGGTCCCCACCCATCCTGATGCAGATATCCCAGCTTACCGATTCCTGTAGATCTCAGCCCAGTTATTCCCAAAGAAGCGGCCCAAAGGCTGCTTCCCGTCCTTGTCCTCGTATTTGTACTTGCCAGTCAGCAGGCCCCCTGCAGGAAGGCTGCAATCAGTCCCCTGGCCAGACTGCTCCCAGATAGGCTAAGATCCCTGGGCTGTAGGACAGTGGGGGACCAGGAGGGATGGAGGACATGGCCCAGCCTCCTGTCAACACCCCCCACCACCACCACTTCCCACGTCCTGGGCTGGGCACCCACTGGGTTAAGAACAGGCAGAGATGGGGCCAGGAATTCCCTCCCACTCCAGGAGGTGACACCGTCCTCACAGCACTCATACCAGCCAAAGGGTTGTAGGCGTAGAACCTCAATCCAAAGTGCCTGAGACAGGGGAAGAGTTCTGTTTCCACCTGCCGGGTGGTGGCGTTGTACATGCCCTGCAGATAGAGGGTCCAGCTGGTGTCAAAAGAGGGGCCCCAGCTTTACTTTTATAGAACTCTCAGTCAAAACTTGCCCAGCACTCCAGCAATTATTTCTAAAATTACTAGTGTTGTGGTTGCACAACTTGAAAAATATAGTCAGTGTAACTGAATTATACAGGTAAAAATTGTTGACTTGGTGTATGTTTTGCTTTGTAAATTTTTACCAAAAAACTAAACAAATTACTAGTGGTAGTTGGGGATGAGGAGAGTGTTGGGGCCAAGGAAGAGAAACTGGACTGGATTTGTCATTTCACAGATATCTGTGGGCACCAACTATGGGCTGGACACTGGATTTAAAAACACAAGCGAGTCTGACAAGGTCTCTGCCACCAAGAGATGTTATAAAACCATGAAAAAAAACCAACTGCCATCGAGTCGATTTCGACTCATAGTGACATAGGGTAGAGTAGAACGGTCCCATAGGGTTTCCCAGGAGCGGCTGGTGGATTCGAACTGCTGACCTTTTGATTAGCACTGTAGTACTTAACCACTGCACCACCGGGGCTCCAAGAGAGATGTTATAGTCAAGTTAAAAAAAAAAACAGAAGGTAAGTTCTGTGATCATAGTAAGCACTCAAAAACACCTGCTGAATGTACGAAGATGAGGTGGTAAGAGAATGGAGACTGTTCCAGCTGAAGTGCAGTGTGAGGCAGGAAGGAAGGGGCCCAGGTGGGCGCTGAGGCAGGAGAGGGTGGTGGGGCTGGAGCGTGTGGGTGCCTGTGTGCCAGGCTGAGGAGCTTGGACTTTATCCTGAGGGCCACAGGAGCCTCTACAGACTTAAGCAGGGGAGTGGCTGCTATGCAGAGGGCACTGGGGCAGTCAGAGGGGCCAAGAGAACCCCTGGGGACAAGGCCTCTGGCCCTGGCCTCACCTGGTACACCGTCGGCAGGATCCAGCCGTGGTTCTTGCAGAGGGTACAGATCTCGGCCACCTCCCAGGAGGCATAGTTGGAGAGGCCAAGCTCCACAAACTTGCCCTGCAGGGAGAGGCCTCAGTCAGAGCCCACTGCAGCCCAGGAGACCAGGAAGGGGAGAGTCAGTGGAGACCCCTGGGAGCAAGGTCTGTGCCCAGCTCCACCTGGGACTGCCCTGGTGCCTCCACTCCCCTGGGTAGTGAGAGGCCAAGGGGAGGAGCAGCAGACACCTCCCGGAGCTCATGTGGCTGCCCTCACCTCCTGGTGCAGCTGGTGGCAGGCGCGCAGTGTCTCTTCCACAGGGGTGCTGTGGTCAGGTGCATGTAGGTAGAAGAGATCCACCTGGGTGCACTGCAATCGTTTCAGCGATGTCTCCAGCTGGGACCGGAGACTGTCAGGCTTCAGTGAGTTCCCATCCCAAGGGTTGGCCTTGGTGGCAATTTTCACTTGAGGGGAGAATACGATAGTTAAGAGATTTATTAAAGTCACTTACTAGCCATGTGACTCTGGCTAAATTACTTAAGTTCTCTGGGCCTCAATTCCCTAACCTGTAAAATGGGGATAATAATAATGGAAGTGTACTTCTAGGGGGGTCATGAGGATTAAGCAATGTCTTATATATAAATTCTCAATGCTCACTGCTATTATAATCACTGTGATTAATCATCAAGCTGCTGGCTGTCCAGGCCGTGCCCTAGGGGCTGAGTACACAGAGATGAACTGAGCACACTGGATCCTTGCCACAGGGAGCTCACGGTCTGCAGGGTGTACAGTATGGTAAGTGCAGCAGAGAAATGCACAAGGTGCTAAAGGAGCCCTGAGGAGAGGCGTGAGGCCCACCTGGGAATGACCAGGAGATGACCCTCCAGCTTAATCTCCAGAAATGTGTCAGAACTAGCGAGGAAAGGTGGGAAGTGCATTCCAAAGTTGGGAACATGGGCAAAGCCACAGGGGCAAGAACAACACAGTACGCAAGAGACCACACCAGCAATTCTGTGTTACAAGAGCAGGAACTCCAGGGCAGGAAGTGATCGGACATCAGACAAAAGAAGGGGGCACAGACCTGAGCCCACAGGGTCTCAAATACCACCCCAGTGAATCTGGACTTGATCATGAAAGCCACCGAAGCCATTTAAAGGTTTTCAGTCAGGGCATGGACCCGTCAGCTATGTAGTTTCAAGTTTACTCTGGCTGCAGTGCAGAAAATGAACTGAAAGGGGCAGGCTTAGAAGCAAGGAGACCAGTAAAGAGGCTGTTACAGGATTCAGGAGAGATGCAGTCACCTGATTATGGGCCACCGGCGGAGACGAATTTGAGAGACTTTCAGAAGGCAAAGTGAGCAGAAGGCAATTACCGTTCCCTCCTCCCTTTCTAGACTTACAGAGGTGTGCACGTACACATGCCTCACCGCAGAGACACAATCCCCAAGGACAAGATAGTATCCTGCTGTCCAAGGAGCTTGGCCACGGGTTAATTCAGCACCTTTCCCCCCTGTAGAGAATCCAGCTGTCTGAATCGATGGGTGAGAGAAGAGGCTTTGTGTAGTTTTCACGAGTGGCACACTCAACCAAGAGGGCCGGGGGGTAGGGGTGGGGGTGGGTAAGCTTCTAGTTTAGGTTTTCTTCGTTCCCCCACACCCTCCACCCTTTTCTGGTGTGAACTTTGCCTCGGATCTGATCTGAGGACTTTGGCCCAGTGAGTCCTTGGCCTTAAAAGAAGGAAGCGGGAAAGAGCTGGAGAAGGAAAACAATTCTGAAATAAAATCTTTCTTATCAACAAGAGGCATTCAGATGACTGAGAAGAGTGTGGGCCTGAGATACACACTCCCGTTCTGTTCTTCCAGATCCACCAAGCTATGGATCTAAGGAGGACCCAGAGAGGACCTCCACCACAGGGATGAGAGGAAGATAGAAAAGAAGAGGCAAGGTGTTGTAGTGGGAGAGGCTGCACAGGCCTGGCTCACTGTTATTTACTCCCCATTGCTAACCACCACATTGTCTCATGATCTTGCTTCTCCAGTCTCTACAGAAGGTTTAAGATTAACCGACATTCCTCCTTGGAGAGTAGAAAACAAGTGATAATGATCTAAGGATGAAAACCAAACAAAGCACCCATCTTGTGACAAGAAAAACCAGGATATCGTCAGATAATCCCCAAGGATGCCACCAGATAACCCCCAAGAATACCAGGAGATTAACTCGTCTGAGACATCTCCACCTCAAGGGGAAACTAACACATAACACAGATCCATAATCCTGTCCCTATAAAAGCCTTCAGCCGATCTCCAGTGGGGGAGACAGGTTTTTTGGAGGAATCCATTCCCCTCTGTCTCCTATATATCGATATATAATAAACTTCTTGCTGCTCACCTCACCCGTCTCAGAACTGGCTATTGCTGCAGGCAGCTCCAATCCACGTTGTTGCAGTAACAGCAGTAATGACAACTGATAGCTAATGTTCACTACACGTCTGTCAGTGTGGTGGCTGGCGTGTTGCTGTGATACTGGAAGCTTTGCTACCGGTATTTCAAATACCAGCAGGGTTATCCTTGGTGGACAGGTTTCAGCAGAGCTTCCAGACTTAGACTAGGAAGAAGGATCTGGCAGTCTACTTGTGGAAAAAATTGGCCAGTGAAAACCTTATGATTAGCAGCAGAACACTGTCTGATACAGTGCCAGAAGAAGAGCCAGGACCTTCATTTGCTGATCTGACACGACTCAAAATGAGAACAAACAGCTGCAAACATCCATTAATAACTGGAACAGGGAATGTACGAAGTATGAATCTGGAAGAATTGATGCCTTTGAATCATGGTGTTGGCAAAGAATACTGAATATACCATGGACTGCCAGAAGAACGAACAAGTCTGTCTTGGAAGAAATACAGCCAGAGTGAGCCTTGGAAGCGAGGATAGCGAGACTGCGTCCCACATACTTTGGACATGTTATCAGGAGGGAACAGTCCCTGGAGAAGGACATCATGCTTGGCAAAGTAGAGGGTCAGCGAAAAAGAGGAAGACCCTTGATGAGATGGACTGACACAGTGGCTGCAACAATGGGCTCTAACATACCAATGGTAGCGAGGATAGCAAAGGACTGAACAGTGTTTCACTGTGTTGTATATAGGGTTGCTATGAGTCCTGACCGACTCAATAGCACCTAACAACGTTTACTAGGCCCTCACTATGTGCCAGGCACCGTCCTAAGCACTTCTGATTGCATCAGCTACTGAGGGACAGTGTCCCCCCACATTCACACATACTCCACTCTAGCCACAGCTGATTTCTGGCACTCCTTCCACACACCATGCACTTTGCATTTCTAAGGCAAGTCTTTGCACAGCTATGCCCTCAGCCTCTGATGCCCTTTTCTTTGTCCACTCAGTAAACTGCCATTGATCCTTTAAGGCTCAGCGCCAGTGTTCTCTCCTCTGAGAAGCCTTCCCTAGTGCTGCTCCCTGTCCTCCCATCCCCAAGAAGTGCTCCCTTGTCTGGGCTCCCCACTAACCATTTGCTTTCATCTTCCCTACTAGACTGAGCTCCCTGAGGGTAGGTTAGAGTCACTTTCCCTCCTATGACCAGTTGCCACTGAACTGACTCCAACTCATGGCAACCTCATGTGTTTCAGAGTAGAACTGTGCTCCACGGGGTTTTCAGTGGCTGCCTTTTTGGAAGTAGATCACCAGGTCTTTCTTCAGAGGTGCTTCTGGATAGACTTGAACCTCCAACCTTTCAGTTAGGAGCAGGCATGTTAACATTTTGCGCCACCCAGGGACCTTTCCTCCTATAGCCCATGACAAGGTCTAACACATAATGGACAGAAAAGATTTTCCCTCTTTCTCATCCTCCCCTGCCCCCATCCTGATACCCCTACTCTCCTAGCTGGGATAGGGATCACTACAGCTCTCCCTTGAGAGAACTAAAGGTACTGCCAACTAAGCAGGACAAAGTCTAGGGACTGGTGAAAGTCTGGGATGAGAAAAGGAGCAGATTTCCCACCCACTGCAAAGACTTGGCTGGGATGGGTGCTCAAGGAGCAGGGGCGTGGGGGGCGGGGGGAGGGCAGAGGAGTGCACTTGCCCCCAGGTGCAAGTCCATGGGGGCACCAGTGGCATCACTAGGGGGTGCAGACCTTACCAGGTGACACTGTCAAAGGGGGTAACACCACATGGTCCAGAGATACGTCGAAGACCAAACTACGCAGGACTTGAGCTGCTTCAGAAAGTTCGTGCCCGCTTCAGCCATGTTCTGGCGCTGCTCTCTGCTGCCTAGGGTCTTGGAGTCTGCCTGGACATTTCATCTGCCAGAGGCGCCGCTAGCACCCCAGCAACACCGAGAACCCCCAAAACCCACCTGTCAGCCGACCCGCCTGCCAACCTGGATGTGCAGTGGCGCTGGACTTCTTTTCCTTGCCACTATCAACGTCTATGCATCTTGAAATTTGGGGCAGGGGGACCGCAACTTAGAGACTGCCCCTAGGCACTCAATACCCTCGCTACGCCCCTGCCCTATCAGGGGGCGCATGAGGCATTGAGGGCAATTGGGGAGGGGTTTGCCTTGGGATCAGCTATGGCCACCTGACAGCTGGAGGCGAGGGCTGCACCAAGAAAGGAAGGGGGAGTTAATGAAAAGGCTAGACCAGTCTAGGGGGTGGGACTGGGTGGGTGGGGGGGGCGGTTCCCAGGTTGTGCCCCCTGAGGTAGGAGCGAGTGAGGGGAAGGTGGTCAGGGCAAAGCACCGTCCAGCTGTCCGGTGCTGGATGGCACGGGGCCTGAGGAGCTTGGGGTTCATTGAGCTGCGAGGTTGCCCTGAAGCGGTGCTCTGGGAGGAGGACAAAGGTGTCCGGCCTGACCGAAGCCCGGCAAGAATGGGGCGGGTGAATGGCTTCCGGCCGGGAGGTCAGGGGCCCGGGGCAGGGCTCCAGATGTTACCTTTGCAGTCGCTGCCGCCCAGCCCAAGCCCCAGACCGCCCAAGATGCTCTCAGACTGGCCGTCGCTGTACACGAAGGCCGTGTCCAGCTCGGTGTGGCCGCGCTCCAGGAAGGCGCGCACGGCTGCGGCGCTGGTGGGGGCGTCAATTCGGCGCCCCATCTCCATGGCGCCCAGCACCGTGGCTGGTCGGGCTAGGGCGCCTGAGGCGGTCTGCGAAAGGAGCCGGGCCATGGCGACGGTACGCGGTTCCGACACCCAGAAACGAAGTGCGCAGGTGATAGCAGCACGAGCCAAAGTGCGAAAGGGCGAACTCTGCATGAGGATAGCGCCTGCGCACAGGGTCGCCTCAGGCCCCGCCCACAAGCGACCGGGGCGGAGCAGACGGCCGAGGTAAGGGAACGACGACAAGGACAGCGGCGCACCCCCACGCACACACACTCTGCGCGCGCGCCCCGCCTCCAGGGACCGTCTGCCAACTGTTCGGCGTGAGAGGCGGAGCCGGGGAGGCGGCTCCCGGGGCGGGGCGGCAGCTACAGCGCGGATCAGCTGACCCGGTGAGTGAGGACTGACCCCAGAAGCCGGATCCTGGCGGCTGATTTCGACGTGGTGAGTTGATCTGGGAGCCGGGAGCCGAGAGCAAACCTGAAGCCTTGGGGGTCGGCACTCCTGGGGCTTTCTGCCACGTGTTTCCAACACCCTCGACCTTTCCCCTGAGCCCTCTTGCGGCTCCTGTTTCACCCTTCCGGCGCGAGATCCTGGGACGAGGCCCTGGACCGGGGATGGGTGGTCCTCAGGGGTTCATGTCCCTGCCGCCCCCACCCCAGGGCAACCAGTACGTCCTCTCAGACCGCCCTGGCCAGTGGTTGGGGCTTGGGTCTCCTTTTCAACTCCTGGTTCGGGCCGACGAGCCCCTTCACTTCTGACGGCTTTGTTTTCCTCGGGGCAGGCCTTTCTGGGATCGAGCCGCTGGTCCCAGCGACTGCCCTGTCATCCCCGCCAAATAGGAGACGCGCGCTGGGCTGAGTCACGAGGAGGGAGATGTTGCCGAGGACATGGAGGCTTGGTGTAGGTGATATCCTCAAGCCAGGATGCTCCTCCCCTCCATATCCTCCCCAGGTGTGCAGGAAAGTAGAGCCAGATTGTCGCCCCCCTCCCCTCCCACCAGTATCTAGGGCAGGTTTCCAAGTGTGTACCTGGGGAGTCTGGGGTGGATGGGGTTTGGAAGTGTGAGGACTTGGGCAGGGGCTGGGGGGAGAATGTCAGCAAGTCTTGTCCATTCAGCATTTGCTTACTGAAGGCTACTGTGTGCTAGGGACCCTGTGAGGGCTACAGGGAGAACAGAACAACAGACACTCGGGCTGTTAATTTTTGAGCTTTACTCCATGCCAGGCACCATTCTAAACATTCTAAACTTTGCCTAGGTTATCTCATTTAACTCTGTAATCAGCCTAGGAGGTGGGTACTTGCATTATTTCCCCATTTTACAGATTAGAAAGTGGAGGCTCAGTCACTTGTCCAGGAGCATAGTAGGTATCAGGTAGGTGAGTTCCAGGATGCCTTCTCCCAACTATATCAATCTTTCCCTCTCTCTCTTTCTTTGCTTTCTAAACCATTGTTGTGCAAGTGATGTGTCTAGGCCCTGAGAATAACAAGTTTACAGTCAGGGTGAGGGGAGAGGATTAATGGTTGCTGAGGACTGTGATAATTGTTCAGGTATGCGGATGAAGGGAGGTCAAGAGGTGGCAGGTTTTGTCCAGCAAGCTCTTGAAAGGCTTCTTTGAGAGGGTAATTTAGAACTGAACCATCGAAGGACACTCCAAGAGGAAGAGAAGCATGTTCCTGGAGGTCTGAAAATGCCTGAGGACCTAGGGACAAGGGGCAGGAGATGAGATTAGGAGGGCAATTCTTGAAGTACCTCGAGGCCTTGCCTCAAGGAATTTGTGCTGGATTCTATAAACAAAGGAGAAACATAGAAGCCTTATTTTAAGGTGGAGACTTGGTCAGCTTCAGTGGGCAGCTACGTCCCTGACTCAGTTTGGGATCTTGGAGAGAAGCTAGGGTTTGGCAGGAGATTCCGTCTCCAACCCAGCATTTCCCAGAGTATCGCTGCGTGCACCAGAATCAGCTGGGGGGCTTCTTCAACTCAGGATCCTTGAGTCCTAGCCCAGACACACTGATCCTGTAGTTTAGCATGTTCCCCTCCCCCTGCCACCTCGTGATTCCAAGGCTGTGGTCTTTGTCATCTCAAGGATGAGGTCAAGCTTTGATATAACCCTGGACATCCATCCACTCAGTGCTGTTAGACAAGGAGGTGGGGTTCTCAGAAGCTAGTCCTGGGGTTCAGGCTCCCCACTTGGGCCAGCTTCTACAAGTGAGGGGCCCTGTGCTCAACGGCCCTCAGAGGAAGTCCTCTCTGTTCAGGCTCAGGCTTGTCTCAAGTGTCCTGAGCCCCCAGCTACACTCTGGCGTTGTCCAAGGACAAGGGGCTGCCCAGTCAGTGCCCTGGGCCTATAAACCAAAGTACATTTCTCAAGACCCATCCTCCACAACTAGGCATGTGTCTGCCTTACTTCCTCTGTAACCTGGTAAAAAAGGGGTGAGAGACAGGCCTCAGGGCAGTTGAGATACTGGACTCTCATCCTGAAAACAGTTAACTGCCATTTCTTATGTCAGGCACTGGGCTAAGCACTTTATGTGGCTTTAACCTGCACAGCTCCAAGGAGTTAGTGTCATTATCCCCATTTTATGGACCGGCTCAGACAGATTAACTTACTTGTCCAAGGTCACTCAACCTTGTGGTCTGGCCTCAAGCAGCCTGGTCCAAGCACAAGCCTAAAATAAAATCCTCCCTCTAGACTGACGTGGTGGACATTAAGACATAAGAGTTTGCAAATGATTTTTTTTTTTTTAAATAACAACTGTCCAACACAAACTCTAGAGAATGTAGCTGTGCTCATCCATATAGGCCGAGGTGGGGAGAAAGCTCTGGGACCAGTGTTGAGGTTAAACCGACCTTACATTTGATTTCAAACAGAGTTAGGTTCACTGTCCTTGTCTAGTCATTTAACCTCTCTGAGCCTCAGTTCTTCCTTTGTAAAATGGGGACAGTATACCCCACCTTGCAGTAGAAATGTGAGGATGACAGTGTGCCAACATGAGATGATCTACAGTGGCATCTTCAAAATCTATAAGAGGAGGGTGGGGGAGGCAGTCTGGTTGAGGGGTGGCTGGGGAACAAAAGGACTTATTTTGAAATGGCCTTGGCACTGCAAAGGTACTGTTCTTACTGGGATTGCATGTTAGCATAGATGGTTTTGCAGGCACTGATGTCAAGGTATCAGGTAAACTGTCCCCATATCACTTGTGCTGATTGATGGTCATTGGGGTATGTCATTGTCTTAGTTATCTAGTGCTGCTGTAACAGAAATACCACAAGTGGATGGCTTTGACAATCAGAAATTTATTCCCTCACAATCTAGGAGGCTAGAAGTCTGATTTAGGGCACCAGCTCCAGGGGAAGGCTATCTGTCTCTGTTGGTTCTGGGGAAAGGTCCTTGTCATCAGTCTTCCCCTGGTCTAGGAGCTTCTCAGCACAGGGACCCTGGGTCCAAAGGACTCACTCCAGTCCCAGCATTTCTTTCTTGGTGGCATGAGGTCCCTCTCCTCTCTGTTGCTTTCCCTCTTTTATATCTCAGAAGAGATTGACTCAAGACACAACTTAATCCTGTAGATTGAGTCCTGCCTTATTAACATAACTGCCTCTAATCCTGCCTCATTAACATCATAGAGGTCAGGATTTACAACACACGGGGTAATCACATCAGATCACAAAATGGTGGGCAACCACACAATATTGGGAATCATGGTCTAGCCAAGTTGATACACATTTTTGGGGGACACAGTTCAATCCGTAACAGTCACCAAGACGCAAGCAGAGGCTTTTGGCCACCCTGTGCTGGGCCCTGGAGATACTGCAGGAAGCCAGACAGATAGCGATCGGGCCTCAGGTGCCTGTGTCCCCGCTTCCAGGGCCTGTCTGGTGCTAGTCACATTGGGCTGAGAGTCCAGAAGTTCCTGGAGAAGCAGCTGACTCGCTTTCTCTCCCCCATGATGCTCCCTGGTCTCTGCGACCTCAGCAGTTCCATGGGTCCAGCCAGGGTATTGCTTTACCAGGGGCCCAGACCGCCTGACAGCAAGACAAGACACGAAGGTGGCTGGAGAGAGTCCCAGTCGGCTGGGGAAACTCCCTCTGAGCACAGTGAGAAAAGGGGAAGCTGCTGTCTGGCTCTGGGGAAAGCTGGCAGGCATGCCCGACCACAGGAGGTTTTCACTCTTCCCAGGGACCTTGTTGCGGAGACAGAGGCAGGATGGCTCCGAGCAGGGGCTTGAGTCAGGGTCCTGGTTTGACTCCTGGTTCTGCCACTTTCTGGCTGGAGACAAGGAGAATATATTGGTAGCCTTCCTTCTTAGAGTTGATATGAGGACAAAATGCATGAACCCATGCAAGGTACTTAGCACAGAGCTGGCAAAGAACTAAGTAATCAGGGGTGGTGATTTTTATCACCTGATGGAGATGGCTTCAGCCCGGCCCGTTTGTCCCCCTTCTCTAGGTTCTTCACACAGGCAGCCCCCGTCCCGAGCACCAGGACAGGATTCTAGCTTGTCAGTGGTGAGAACAGGGCGGTGGCTCTGGACTCCTTGCTGTTAGGTGTCTCACATACCACGTGAGCTATTGCTTTGGTGGAGGATACAGCTAGAACAACCAGCTGCCCCAAGCATGGATCCCAGCCACCTGTGCAAGCCCGGGGACTTGCCTGGTCCTGATTCTCCACTGACCTGATTTGGCCAATGGCGATACCCTACTTAGAGGGAGTGTTAAATAAGCTAGTGTATGTAATGGGCCTGGCCTTAGCAGACCCACACAAAGCCATTTCCAATAACAAAAATTTGGAAACAACCTGAATGTTCCAAGAGTTATACAAAAGATGGCTCAGTTCTGTGTACTGTATTTATGAACCATTTAATCCTCACAGCAACCCTATGAGGAAAGCACTGTTATCGTTCTCATTTTAGAGCTGAAGGAACTGAGGCACAGAGATGGAGTCACCTGCCCAAAGTTGCAGTGTTAACATGTGGCGAAGCTGGGATTTGAGCATTCTCGTCCCTCGCCACAGGTTCCAGGGTGGCACAAATGGTTTGCTCTCGGGTTCAAACCCACCCAGCGGAACCATGGAGGAAAGGCCTGGCAATCTGCTTCCAAAAGGTCACCACCTTGAAAATCCCATGGAGCACAGTTCTACTCTGTAACACATGGAGTTGCCAAGAGTCAGAATTGACTTGACCGCAATGGGTTTGGTCTTTGTTTTGATCCCCAGCCACAGATCCAGCGATCTTCCTGCTCCTACTTGTGTGGTTGGCACGTTTGTTTGATCTCTTCCTGGAAGGCTGATTGTGGGGGAGGACTATGTCTTTATTCTCCTCTGGTCCAGGGGCTCTGTCAATCCTGGGTGACAGAGCTGGATGGGCTTCCACTGGGGGTCCATAAATAGGACCCAGACCTCCCAAGGCTGAAGGCCTCCTCTCTTCTTCCCCCTAGAGTCCTCACCTGCCTCAGTGAACCAGTGCCCTCCTTCCTGAGCAGCCATCCGGGCTGAGGGCCCTCCCTCCACAGCCATGGTCTGGAAGAAACTGGGCTCCGGCAACTTCTCCAGCTGCCCCAATGGCTCCCGCCAGTGGATATGGGACGTGTTTGGTGAATGTGCTGTGGACAGCTGGGATGAGGCCAGCGTGGGCCTAGGCCTGATCTCCATTCTCTGCTTTGCTGCATCCACTTTCCCGTGAGTAGCACCAGGGTGGCAGGACTAGGGCAGGGGGGTGGGGGTGGGGTGATGGCTCCAAGTACTGCACAGAGGAGGGGCTTCCTGGCTGACCCTGTGCCTCTCTAGAGTCAGGGATGTGTGGACTCCCCCCCGACCCACACTCATGGGCCTCCCACCCATCCAGGAGCCACCTGCACTGAACCCTACTATAGGCCAGGCCTTGTGCTGGGCCATGTTGCTACAGAGACAATAAGAACACTCGCTACTGTTACTGAGTGCCTACTATGTACTAGGCTCGGTGCTAAGCACTTGACGTGTTTTGACTTCATTTAATCCTCATAAAACCCTATGAGGTAGAAACTATTACTATCCTCATTTTATAGATGAGGAAGCTGAAACCCAGAGAGTTTTAAGTAACTTGCTTCAGGTTGCACAGCTCATAAGGGATTGGGTGGAAGGGGCTGGGATGCATCAAACATGGTCTCTGTTCTTGAGGCTTTGACAATCTGGTGGTGGAGACAGACAGTAAATATAAAATAGCATGGCCATCGCTGTGATGGGGGAACCGGGGCACAGTGAGTAACAGCACAGTGGTGGAGAGAGTGGGCCTTGCACTCAGACAGATGTGAGTTCCACAGTCAGCTCTGCCACCTACTAACTGCGACCTGGCCAAGTCACTTGGTGTGCTGTGCCTCAGTTTCCTTATCTGTAAGATGGGACTCTTGTTCCCTACCTCACTGCTGTGAGAACGGCATAAGGGAGTGTGTATAAGCAGCCAGCTCAGGGCCTTTACTTGCTACGTACACAATCCCGAGAGCTGTAGGTGGTGATATTGTCATTTCATTACATGCTCTGAGAGCACAGAAAAGGGGCGCCTAACTCAGTCTTGTGTGTAGGAGGGGATTTCAGTCAGAGAAGGGATCCGCAGAGGTGTCGTTCTTCAAGCTGAGACCTGTAGGACAGGTAAGTATTAGAGAAGTGAGAGCAAGGGGCAAGGGATGGGAGAGCATTCCAGGCAGAAGGAACAGCAGCTGCAAAGGCCTGCAGGTTCAAGAGAGGTGGGAAGGGCAGAGGGGTTTGTATGGCTGGACTGTGTGTGAAGGCCCGGTGGGTATGAGAGGGTCATTAAGGGCCCTATAATGAAAGGTTCTCCACTGTTAAAGAATTTGCTTGTTATCCTAAGGGAAGTAGGGGCCATGGAAGTGTTTAAGCAGGGGCTGGACTTTTTTTTTTTTTTTTTTAGTTTATTGAGATATAACTCACATACCATACAATTCATCCATTTAAAATGCACAATTCAGTGGTTTTTAGTTTGTTCACAGAGTTGTGCAACCATCATCACAATAAATTTTAGAATTTTTTGTCACCCTGAAAAGAAACCCCATGCCCAGTAACAGTCAACCCCCCACTTCTCATCCCCCCCACCCCAACTAGGCAGTCTGCTTTCTGTCTCTACATTTACCTGTTCTGGACATTTTACATAAATTGAATCATAGTGACCAGCTTCTTTTCTTAGCATAATATCTCCCAGGTTCATCTGGCATGTGTCAGTACTTCATTCCTTTTTTATGGCTGAACAGTATTCCATTGTGTAAATACAGTAGTCCCCCTTATCCATGGTTTCGCTTGCTACAGTTTTAGTTACCCGCAGTCAACTTCGGTCTGAAAATATTAAATGGAAAATTCCAGAAATAAACAATTCATAAGTTTAAATTGCCTGCCATTCTGAGTAGCATGATGAAATCTTGTGCCGTCCCGCTTCGCCCTTCCTGGGACGTGAATCATCCCTTTGTCCAGCGTATCCACGCTGTGTATGCTATCCATCTGTTAGTCACTTAGTAGCTGTCTCAGTTATCAGATCCACTGTTGTGGTATTGCAGTGCTTGCTTTCAGGTAACCCTTATTTTACTTAATAATGGCCCCAAAGCGCAAGAGTAGTGATGCTGACAATTCGGATGTGCCAAAGAGAAGCTGTAAAGTGCCTCCTTTAAGAGAAAAGGTCTAAGTTTTCGACTTAACGATATTTTGAGAGAGAGAAAGATCATATTCACATAACTTTTATTACGGTATATTGTTATAATTGTTCTATTTATTATTGTTAATTTCTCACTGTGCCCAATTTAGAAATTAAATTTTATCATAGGTATGTATGTGTAGGAAAGCACATAGTCTGTATGGGATTCAGTACTATCTGTGGTTTCAGGCATCCACTGGGGGTTTCGGAATGTATCCCCCACAGATAAGGGGGGACTACATTAAAACGATCGACTGCTAACCGAAAAGTTGGTGGTTTGAAACCACCGGAGGCTGTGCGGGAGAAAGATGTGGCAGTCTGCTTCCATAAAGGTTTACAGCCTTGGAAACTGTATGTTGTCACTATGAATTGGAATTGACTTGACGGCAGTGGGTTTGGGGTTTGTTTTTTTTTTAACTGTATGCCACATTTTGTTTATCCAGTCATCAGTTGATGGACATTTGGGTTGTTTCCACTTTTTGGCTATTATGACTAATTATGACTAATCCTGCTATGAACATTTATGTCCAGATTTTTTTTTTAATTTAATTTTGTTGTTGAGAAGATACACAGCAAAACATTCACCCATTTCTACATGTACAACTCAGGGACATTGATTACATTCTTTGTGTTTTACAACCATTCTCACCGTCTGTCTTAGGCTGGGTTCTCTAGAGAAGCAAAACCAGTGAAGCATGTACATATGTATGTATATATATCTGTAGAGAGAGATTTGTCTCAAGAAAATGGCTCATGCAGTTGCAGAGGCTGGAAAGTCCCAACTCTGTGGGTCAGGCGTCAGGCTGGAGGCCTCTCCTGACTCATGCATCTGCTAGGGCTGACGAACTCAAGATTGGCAGATAAGATGGCAGGCTGCTGGTTCACAGGCTGCAGAGGCTGACAAATCCAAGATCAGCAGGTAAGATGGCAGGCTCTTGGCTCAGGCTGCAGAGGCTGACAAATCCCAAAATCAGCAGGCATACAGCATGCCACTGGCTCAAGTCCCAAGAACCAGAGATCAGATGATGGCAAGCTAGATGCAGGATCCAGAGCAAGCAAGGATGCTTTGCCAAAATGTCTCTCTCTCTCTCTATATATATATATACAGGATGCAGGCCACACCCCCAAGAAAACTCCCCTGATGATTAATTGGCTGATCATACCAGATTACATCATGGAAGATGACTACATCATTACATAATTGCCAAACTATACCATTACATTAATTCTAACCGCTGAGAATCGTGGCCCAGCCAAGTTAACACACAACCTTAACCATCACACCCTCCTTTTCTGAGTTGTTCCTCCCTTATTAACATAAACTCACTGCCCTCTAAGGTTCCTATATAATCTTTTGAGTTGCTGTTGTCATTTTGATCCTGTATAGATCTTAAAAGAGCATAATGTTCAAGGCAGACATTTTTTACTAGTTAAGCTGAACTATTGTTCAAGTTTAAGAAGACTTCAGGGGATATTTTTGGTTTAAGATTTTAAGATTATCTCAAGGCAGTAGTTTCAGAGGTTCATCCAGCCCCCTTGTCTCTGCAAAGTCTGGAGTCCATGAGTATTTTAAATTCTGTTCTACATTTTCCCCCTTTTGATCAGATTCTTCTGTGAAATCTTTGATCAAAATGTTCGGTAATGGTAGCTGGAAACCATCCGGTTCTTCTGGTTCATGGCAAAGGAGGTGGCTGTTTATGGAGGCAGTTAGCCACATATTCCATATCCTCCTCCTGTTCCTGATCATGTCCAGATTTTTACATGGACATATGTTTTTACTTCTTTTGGGTGTATACCTAGGAGTGGAATTGCTGCATCATATCATAACTCAGTGTTTAGCCTTTTGAGGAACTGCCAAAGTGGCTGTACCATTTTACACTCTCACCAGCAGTGTATGAGGGTTCCAATTTCTCCAAATTCTCATCAACATTTATTATCTCTCTTTTTTATTATAACCATCCCAGTTATAACCATCATTATGGTTTTGAATTTCATTTCCCTGATGGATAATGATGTTGAACATCTTTTCATGTGCTTATTAGCTCTTTGAACATTGAATATTATAATGTTCGAATCCTTTGCTCATTTTTCAGTTGGATTATTTGTCTTTTTATTGTTGAATTGTAAGAGTTCTTTAGATACAATTCCAGATAAAATTTTCTCATCTCCTATGTGATTTACAAATATTTTCTCTTATTCTGTGAGTTGTCTTTTCACTTTCTTGATGGTGTCCTTTGAAGCACAAAAGTTTTAAATTTTGATGCTATCTAATTTATTCATTTTTTTAATGTAGCGTTGTGCTTTCGGTTTCATATCTAAGAAACTACAGTCATGCATCAGTTAACAACCACGATACTTTCAGTGAATTAGAATGTTGCGTGATTTGGATGTTGTGCAAACAGTACACTATATATTTAGCAAAGCTTTATGGGATACGTTTTGTTTCACTTCCAGATCAATACTTTCCCTTTGCCTCTTGCTGCTACTATCACTAGCGCTGGTTTTGCAGTATTTGGGAGCCATAATGCACTTCACGTTAATATTTTTGAAAGAAAATTAGAGAGAGAATGTCACAACACTCAGGAGACATGCGATATGTGAGATTGGATGTTGCTGCCTATGAGTCAAAGCATACATTGTTATACAGTAAACTTTTTATTTGTAAGTAGGGGAAGTTCACATTAAAATAATAATAGAAAGTACAGTACAGTATATGCATAAGCTAGTAACACAGGTGTTTATTATGACTATTAAGACATATGAACAAAAAATTTCAAAGACTAGCTTGAGAAGACAAAGTAAAATATTATAATGAAATATGCAAAGATCTGGGGTTAGAAAACCAAAAAGGAAGAATGTGCTCAGCATTTCCCAAGCTGAAAGAACTGAAGGAAAAATTCAGTTACAATATTGAAGGATTCTATGGGCAAAAAATTGACCGACGTAGGAAGCATCAAAAGAAGATGGAAGGAATACACAGAGTCGCTGTACCAAAAAGAAGTGGTCAACCTTCAGCCATTTCAGGAGGTAGCATATAAACAACAATCAGTGGTACTAATGGAAGAAGCCCAAGCTGCACTGAAGGCATTGGCGAAAAACAAAGCTCCAAGAATTGGCAGAATACCAATTGAGATGTTTCAACAAACTGATGCAGCTCTGGAAGTGCTCACTCATCTATACCAAGAAATTTGGAAGACAGCTACCTGGCCATCTGACTGGAAGAGATCCATATTTGTGCCCATTCCAAAGAAGGGTGATACAACAGAATGCGGAAATTATCAAATAATGTCATCAATAGCACATACAAGTAAAATTTTACTGAAGATAATTAAAAAACAGTCATAGCAGTAAATTGACAGGCAACTTACAGAAATTCAAGAAGAGTAAGTGGAAGAGTACATGGAATGAGGGATATCATTGCTGATGTCAGATGGATCTTGTCTGAAAGCAGAGAATACCAGAAAAATGTTTACCTGTGTTTTATTGACTCTGCAAAGACATCCAACTGTGTGGATCATAACAAATTATGGATAACATTGTGAAGAGTGGGAATTACAGAACACTTAATTGTGCTCGTGAGGAAACTACATAGACCAAGAGGCTGTTGTTTGAACAGAACAAGGGTATACTGTGTGGTTTAAAGTCAGGAAAGGCGTGCGTCAGGACTGTATCCTTTCACCGTGTTTATTCAGTCTGCCTGCTGAGCAAATAACCCGAAAAGCTGGGCTATCTGAAGAAGAACGGGGCATCAGGATTGGAGGAATACTCATTAACAACTTGCAATATGCAGATAACACAACCTAGCTTGCTGAAAGCGAAGAGGACTTTCGCGTTTACTGATGGAGATCAAAGAATATAGCCTTCAGTATGGATTATGCCTCCACATAAAGAAAACAAAAATTCTCACAACTGGATCAATAAGCAACATCATGATAAACAGAGAAAAGATTAAAGTTGTCAAGGATTTCATTTTACTTGCATCCACAATCAACGCCCGTGGAAGCAGTGATCAGAAATTAAGCAACATATTGCATTGAGCAAATCTGCTGCAAAGACCTCTTTAAAGTGTTTGAAAGCAAAGATGTCACCTTGAGGACTGAGGTGTGACTGACCCAAGCCATGGTATTTTCAATGGCCTCATGTGCATGCAAAAGCTGGACAGCGAATAAGGAAGACTGAAGAAGAACTAATGCCTTTGCATTATGGTGTTGGCGAAGAGTACTGAATATACCATAGACTGCCAGAAGAAAGAACAAATCTGTCTTTGAAGAATTACAGCCAGAATGCTCCTTAGAAGGGAGCATTTGTCTCATGTACTTTGGACATGTTATGAGAAGCGACCAGTCCCTGGAGAAGGACATCATGCTTGATAGAGGGTCAACAAAAGAGAGGAAGACCCTCAACAGATGGATTGTCACAGTGGCTGCAACAATGGGCTCAAGGATAGCAACGATTGTGAAGCTGGTGCAGGACGGGGCACTGTTTCGTTCTGTTGTACATAGGGTTGCCGTGAGTTGGAACCAACTCGATGGCGCCTAACAACAACAGTCAAAGCATATGTGGTATAGGTTGTATTTGTACTGTACTATTATATCCCTGACGGCACAATTGCTCTGTATACAGGAGACATGAGATACACATGTTGCATGCGGGAGGTTGTTATGTCCATTACATCCCGTTCTTCAATCAAGAGTTCTGAACTCTATTCTAACCTTGTGGGACCATGGACGTATATGTGGTTGGACGTTGCCCGAACGGATGTTATGTTGTCCATGACTGTATTGCCTAACCTAAGTCAGGAAGATTTATGCCTATGTTTTCTTAAGAGTTTTAGCTTTTACATTTAGATCTTTGATCCATTTTGAATTAATTTTTATATATGGAGTGAGGTAGGGATCCCACTTCATTTTTTTGCATGTGAATATCCCCTTGTCAAAGCACTATTTATTGAAAATATTATTTTTCCCCTATTGAATTGTCTTGGCACTCTTGCTGGGGACATGATATTTTTACTGAATACCTTGTTCTAGGTACTCTGTTAGGTGTGGCACAAGTAAGCAAAATAGATCTCATCCTAGCCTTGCAGAGCTTCCATTCTGGTACCCTTTAAAAGCATTCTGGGAGTCACAGGGAAGAAGGTCTGGAGAGACAGAGAGAGTGACAGGTTGCAGGGAGCCCACCTCAGGGGCTGTGGAAGTCATCCAGTGTGCAATATTTGGGGGGTTGGGCGGTGTTGGACAGATGCTTAGGAGGTAGATTGGATAGGTTTGGGTGACTGATGGAGGTGAGGGAGACTCCCTTTCCTGGGCTGAGAACTTCCCTAGAGCTACCAGAGGAGCTGTCCAAGGCTTCCCTTCCTGCGTGGTACGGCATGAGCCCTGCCCTGGCCTGGCTGATTAGCTGGTGAGGGGGGTCTGAGGTCTGGAAGAGAGCACCAAGTAATCCAGAAAGGGTGGTCACCTTTCTGTTCCTCCTCCCCAGAACTCAACCTTTCCTGGGTGTGACAAAATCACTTTCCAGCAGTTAATGGGAGACAAGTCTAGGGCCTAGGGCAAAGAAATTCCTAAAAGAATGCAGTGGCATCTGTCTACCTGTTCTCATTCGGTAAACATTTATTAGGGCCTTCTCACTGCCAGGGCTCTGTTAGGCCCCATCCCTGCCCTCAGGACACTTGATTCCAGGAGGGACGAGGATGAGAGTGTTACAAAGGAGGAAAGAGAGGTTGCTGGCAGAGCTCCAAAGGTCCCAGGAGGAACCGATACTTCTGAATGATGCAGTGGAGGTATCTGGGCTGAAGGAGGAGGGGTGTGGGGCATCCGGAGATGAAGCGCTCAGAGGAGGAAGAGAAAGCAACCCTGTGGGCTGCTAGGCGACAAGTGGGGCATGGGGGCTGGACAGAGAGGCCAGGGTGAGGCCGAACCTCCTTATAAGGAGGCTGTGGGTCCTTGTGGAGGAGCAGCAGTAGGCTCTGAAAGTTTTTGGCACAACTGAGGTTTTAGAAAGATCCCTGGGAGGGAGAACGAATCTGAGGAGAACAAGATTTGGTTAGGAAACAGAGAGGTGGGTGTATTGGAAGCTAGATCCCAGGGCTAAGCAGGAGATGGAGATAGAAGGATCGGCTGTTGGGAGGACTAGGGCCGGTGCCCACCTTTCTTAATGTCTGGCTTAGGTGATGGGTGGGATGAAATGCCATTTAGTTCCTTTTTTAAAAAAAAAAAAGAAATACATGCAGATGGTTAAACAGAAATGTAAACAATTAATGGCAATGTGTGTAGTGACTAAGAGCAAGACTGGAGCCTGAGGGCTTGGCCTTGAATCCTGGCTCCAACACTTCCGAGCAGTGTGACGTATCTTCTTCAGTCCCTAATGAGAGCGATCATCATAATAGACTTGACCTCATGCAGTGGGGAGGTTAACTAAACGCATTGATACACGTGAAGGGCTCAGAACTGTGACATGCCACCATCAGCACTGGGCTCATGCTGAGTTTTGGCCTTGTACCTGCAGCTGGCCAAAGGTCCAGAGACAGGGGACTAGCACCAAGGATCTTTGGGGAAAACAACCAAGGGTGCAGGAGTCCCTGATTTGCATGGAGAGAGCTACAGGAGCCACAGCCCTGCCCTTCTCCATTGCCCTTTGAAGATAATCAGGCTGTGGTTTGGCCTGTCTTATCAGCCACCCTTGGAGATAGGGCAGTGCTCAGGCCTTGGGTCCACCACTGCCATTGCCATCATCCTTCTTTTTTCCCCTATGAAGCGGTTCTCAGGCCATGGCACAGAAACTTCAGGACCTTATAAAAAATCCAAGTCCCTACTGGTAGACCCCAGGGTGCTGTAGGAGAACATGAGTAATGCTGTGGATCTCTCTGGAAAGGTGCACATCTGTAGCGCTGCCAGGTTGTAAGGGATTCCCCCTGGTAAAAGTCCTCCAAAGGGAAAGAAAGGCCCAGAAGGATTGGCTCCCAGCCACCATCCATCCACTGCCCCCTGCTCTTCTGTTCTGCAGACACCTGGGGCGTGTTCATCCGCCAACTCCCCACACTCTCATTCATGCATTGACCCTCTAAGCCCCTTCACAACCCTCTGAGCACGGTGTCTCCCCCTCTTCCACAGCCAGTACATCAAGGCCTGCAGGGCAGGCAACATGGACCAGGCCCTGTCCCTGTGGTTCCTGCTGGGCTGGCTCGGCGGAGACTCCTGCAACCTCATCGGCTCATTCCTCGCCAACCAGCTGCCCTTGCAGGTAGGCCTGGCCCCAGGCAGGGTGGGGTTGCCAAGGACAGCCATGGCAGAGGCTGGGCAGGTGGGGCTGGGGATGCTGGCAGGAGGTGAGGCTGGGGCCCACTGGCAAGTCGATCTCCAGAATCATGACCCATCATTCTATCTTGTGAGGCATCCATACCATAGAGTCCTTTGCCCTGCCATGCTGTCATTGCCCTTCACTGGGCCCGTCTGCAAAATGAGCACATCCACCAGGCTCTCTTCCACCTCTAATGAGCTGTGATCCTGACTGAGCTCTTAGGACAGCCTGAGGCCCTGGGGCAGGAAAGGCGCTTCCTGAGGGCAGCCCAGGAGCCATGAGCTCCTGTGGCCAGGCCCACTGGGAATCCATGCCCTTCCCATTGGGTCTTAATTGCTGTTTTATCAGGCCAAGCCAGAGCCATCACTTAACCTGGGGTGCTGCTTTGTCCTGACTATTAACATTTGCCACCATTTCCTCAGCACCTGACTTTGATGGCCCTTTGCCTGCCTAATCTCTAATTCTGCCAAGTAGGAACTGTGATCCCCTCTTTTCCAAATCAGGAAACGGAGGCTTAGAGTGGTAGAGTGACTTCCCCGGGGCCACCCAGCTGGGAAGTGGTAGAGCTAACATGCAGGCTACCGGCTTCCTTTGCAGACTTACACGGCAGTGTATTACGTCATGGCGGACCTGCTGATGCTGATGTTGTACTTTCATTACAAGTACAAGAAGCGCGCCTCCCTGTGTGAGTTCGGGTGACCCTTCTGGGTCAGGTGCGCTGCTGGCAGCTGGGAGGGTCAGGAAGAAGCAGGTTTCCTGCTGCCAGGTGATAAACCAGACTGCAGAACAGTGACTTCCTCAGGCCTTATCTAAAAACGTGAGCCTGACTGACCAAGATCGAAGGCAGTGAGCACACCCTGGGCCTGAGCACAGGGAAGCTCCATCACTCAAATACTCATTCAACAAGCACAGCCTAATTAGCTCCTCCTTGGTGGCCCACCCTGGTCTTGGGGCTGGAGAAACAAGGACCAGTCACCCAGGCCCTCTCTGCCCTTGAGGATTTAGAAGGGAAAGAGACAAGATCAAATTGAGGACTGCATAAGATGCAGTGGGGGCACTTAGGGGGAGAACTGGGTGTCAACTGGCATTTCTGCTTTTGATAATCGCCCTCCTGCCCTCACTGTTTCAGCTTTACATCCCTAGCAAATCAGTACTGTTATGATACCCATGCTAAAGATGAGGATTGAATGCTCAGAGAAGTTAGGTCACTTGGTGAAAGTCACACAGCGACTGAGGGCCAAGCCCAGGGCTCAGATCCCAGGTGGTGTCTGCCACCCCTTAGATGACTAACATCAGCTTCCCCTCGCCTCCTGTCCAGTGTCTGCCCCCATCAATGCTGCACTCTTGCTTATCTTGGGGACAGCGTTTTCCACCCCGCTGCTGAGCAGGCCTGATCCTGTGGCCACCCCAAGGGAGGTCTTCCGGGGGCGGACACTCCTGTCTGTGGAACCAGGCAATAAGGTGAGAAGTGGGGATATGACGGTAGAGTTGGGGGATGAGGAGGGCTCTTCCCAAGGGTCTCCCCTGCATGGCCACAGGGGTGTTACGCAAAGTAGGGGGAGGATAACCCCCCCAGGAGGGAGCTTGGGGATTTCTCCCTGTACCTCCGTTCCCTACTTGGCCCTGACCACCTCTTTCCACCCCCTCAGCCCTTCACCCAGCAGGAAATCATTGGCTTTGTCATCGGCTCTGTCTCCAGCGTGCTGTACCTACTCTCCCGGCTGCCTCAGATCCACACCAACGTGAGCCTTGAGCGGGAGCTGGGGGGCAGCAAGTGGGAGAAGAGCTGGCTCGGGTTAAGGATGTAGCATGGTATGGGAATTTTCATTCAGAAGATCTTGGTCCACACTCACTGTTGGCTTGGGCAAGTCAGTCCACCTTTCCAAGCCTCAGTTTCTGCCTCTGGAAAATGGGCATAATGATGCCTGTCATGGAGGGGTATGTGTGACTCTGTGTCTGGCGTAGGTGGGATGTCCGGTGAGAGCAAGGAGCTGAGCTCAATGGCCTGAGGGGGCGTAGGGGGTGGGGCACTCAGGAACAGGGAGGATTGCTGAGCAAGGAGAATGCTTGGGGCTGGAGAGCAGGGCACGGTGGATTAGCAGCTGTGTCTCCTGCAGCCTGGGAGAGGTGGTTGGAGTGGAGACAAGGGTCAGGCCCTGGAAGGGGCTGGTCTGTGTGCCAGACCTGTTGGGGACTGGGCGCACAGTGGAAAGTCAGCTTGGAGCATGCACAGTGTGGTGGGGCAGACAGACACAGGAGTTACAATCCAGAGTGACAAGAGCCCTGTTTGAGGTCTCCGACCCCACCCTCCTCACCTCCAGTTCCTGCGGAAGTCGACCCAGGGGATCTCCTACTCGCTATTCGCGCTGGTGATACTGGGGAACGCGTTGTACGGGCTGAGCGTGCTGCTCAAAAACCCCGAGGTGGGCCAGAGTGAGGGCAGCTACCTGCTGCACCACCTGCCCTGGCTCGTGGGCAGCCTAGGCGTGCTGCTGCTCGACAGCATTGTATCCTTCCAGGGGTGTGGGACAGGCAGGTGGGCATAGGGGGCAGCCTTCTCCCAGCACCCAGCTTCAGCATTCACTCGCTCATTCATTCATTCATTGGTGTGCCAGCCACCCTGCTAGGCACCGGGGTCCAGTGGTGAGCAAGAACAGAATGGCCCTTGCCCTCTGGAAGCTTATAGCACAGGGAGGAGGCAGACATGGCACACACATAATTATCCATTACTTCATTGCAGTGATGTGAAGTACTGTAGAGAAAAACTGCAGCAAGTGTGTATAACCAGGAGGCTGTCCAGGGTTAGAGGATTAGCAAAGGCCTCATGAATGACATTTAAGCTGTGGCCTGAAGGAAGAAAAGCAGTTAGGCAAAGGCAAGGAAGGAGTGTTCGAGGCATGGTTTGTGCAAAGGCCCTGAGGAACGGAGAGAACCCAGCCCATCCAGACCATGGAAATGAAAGCTGGAATGTGGAGACACACGAGGGTTACAAACACCTGGGTTCAAACCCTGGCTCCACCACTTCACACCCACCCTCTGCGACACAGGGCACACCAAGAGCTTCGTCTGCCTGGAGCAGTCACTGGTCTCACAAGGAGTGAGGCGATTCCATACGATAAGGAATCTGAAACACTCAGCGTGCAGCCCGGCACACAGCACGTGCTCAGTAAATGTTTGTTTGCCAAGTGACTGGACAAGGACATTATTCGGATCTCTTTGGGGATAGACTTGGTCCTTGTTTCAACCTTTGCAGAGTACATGCCGAGTGCAATCAGGGATACAAAAACAGTTTAAGCCCTAGTGCCCCCAAGTGGTCCCAGCTACTTGGTGAAACCTCCAGCTGCCGGGGGCTGAGAGGAGGGCAAGATCCTGGGTTTAGGGGGCTGGGGAGGCCACCCGTGGGAGGAAGAGCTCAGCACTTTGTGGAAGATGAGCAGAGCTGGCTAAGGGTTGAGGAGTGGGGAAGGCGTTCTAAGTGGAGGGTGCAGCGGGGCAAAGGCGGGGAGCTGGTTACTGACCCTTCCCACCTGCCAGGCTGCGGTGGTTGGGGGGAGACAAGCAGCCCCACTGGAGCTACAGGCACCCCAGGGACAGGCCCAACAACCCAGTCTACTCGGTTTGCCTTGACGTCCCCCCAGATCTCTGTGCAGTTCCTCATCTACAGGAACGCTGCTGCCGTGTTCTCAGAGACTGAGCCCCTCCTCCCCAGCTGACCAGGGCCCACGCTGAGCCCAGGATGACAGGGACCTCCAGATGCCACATCCAGGAAGGGAGTGAGGGGTGGCCCAGGACGGTGCTGCTGACCTTGTACTGGGCCGTGGAGGAGGCCGGTGGGAGGCCAACAGCGTGGGCCCAGCCGCCTACCCCCACACTTCCGAAACCTCTCAGGGCTACTGACTGCCTCTTCTCAGGAGCAAGCCGGTCGCAAGGCCCAGCCACCACCTTGGAAGTCTGCCCCTGGGAACCTCGTGGGAGAGGCTGCAGCTGGGACCCAGAAGACAGTGTGGTGGCCCCTCTGGCTCACCTGCTTCATTCTGTCTGCTAACCCCCCGGAGGGCGGGCAAAGCTGCAGCCTGGTGGACCCAGGACCGTCCTGCTGACTCCAGACATCCTAGTAAATGGAACCTCCCAGTGAGGCCCGTTTCTGTTGCTCCTTCTGTTTGAGGCTGTTGGGGAAACTGCAGTGGATGGGGATCTGGCCCCACATTCTAAGTCCCGGGAGGAGTCCCAGGGTCAGCATGTGGGAGAGCCCAGCAGGAGAGGCCACGTCTCCTGCCAGCCCCGGCCCAGCCTCCAGGGGCCTTTGTTTTCTTCAGCTGCTTCTCTGTGTACCCAGTGGTGGGGACACGGCAGTAGGAACGGCACTCCAACAAGGTCCTTACCTCTCGGCATGCAGGAGGAAGGAAAATAGCAGATCCTGGTTCTGCACCTTAACTTTTGGGCCTCGCTTACCTCATCTTTGAAACAGGGATGATGATATTACCGCTTCAAAGGTCCTTCTAAGGATTAAATGTTATTGTTAGCTGCCGTAGAGTTGGCACCTGATTCATGGTGACCCCATGTACAGTGGAACAAAACACTGCCCTGTCCTGGACCACCCCCATGATTATGGATCAGACCATTGTGATCCATAGGATTTTCACTGGCTGATTTTCAGAAATAGGTCACCAGGCCTTTCTTCCTAGTCCATGTTAGTCTGAAAGCTCTGCGAAAACCTGTTAAGCATCATAGCAACACGCAAGCCTGACAGATGGGTGGTGGCTGCAGAGGTGCATTGGCTAGGAATTGAACCCAGGTCTCCTACATGGGAGGCGAGAATTTTTTTTTTTTTTAATTTTTTTTATTGTACTTTAGGTGAAAGTTTACAGAACAAATAGTTTCTCATTAAACAGTTAATACACATATTGTTTTATGACACTGGTTAACAACCCCACGACACGTCAACACTCTCCCTTCTCCACCTTGGGTTCCCTATTACCAGCTTTGCTGTCCCTTCCTGCCTTCTAGCCCTTGTCCCTGGGCTGTTGTGCCCCATTAGTCTTGTTTTGTTTTATGGGGCTGTTTAATCTATGGCTGAAGGGTAAACCTCGGGAGTGACTTCATTACTGAGCTGAAAAGGTAGCCAGGGGCCATATTCTCAGGGTTTCTCCAGTCTCTGTCAGGCCAGTAAGTCTGGGTCTTTTTTTGTGAGTTACAATTTTGTTCTACATTTTTCTCTAGCTCTGTCCGGGACCCTCTGTTGTGATCCCTGTCAGAGCAGTCGGTGGTAGCCGGGCCCCATCATCTAGTTGTACTGGACTCAGTCTGGCGGAGGCCGTCGTAGTTGTGGTCCATTAGTCCTCTGGACTAATCTTTTCCTTGTATCTTGTTTTCTTCATTCTCCCTTGCTCCAAGTGGGATGGGACCAACTGATATATCTTAGATGGCTGCTCACAGGCTTTTAAGACCCCAGATGCTACTCACCAAGGTAGAATGTAGAACATTTTCTTAGTAAACTATGTTATGCCAGTTGAGCTAGATGTTCCCTGAGACCGTGCACCCCACAGCCCTCCTGCCCAGTATTCGGTCCCTCAGGGAGTTTAGATGTGTCTATGGAACTTCCACGACCTTGCCTTGTACAGGTTGTGCTGGCTTCCCCAGTATTGTGTACTGTCTTACCCTTCACCAAAGTTATCACTTACCTATTGTCTATTTAATATTTCCCCCCCTCTACCCCTCCCATCCCTCGTAACCATCAAAGATTGTTTCTTTTTGTGTGTAAACCTTTTCATGAGTTTTTACAGTAGAGGTCTCATACACTATTTGTCCTTTTGTGATTGACTTACTCAGCATAATGTCCTCCAGATTCATCCGTGTTCTTAGATGCTTTGCATATTCATCATTTTTTTTTATCGTGGCATAGTACTCCATTGTGTGTATGTACTATAGTTTGTTTATCCATTCATCTGCTGATGGGCATCTAGGTTGTTTTCATCTTTTTGCTATTGTGAACAACGCTGCAACGAACATGGGTGTGCATATGTCTATTCGTGTGATGGCTCTTACTTCTCTAGCATATATTCCTAGGAGTGGGATGGCTGGATCGTATGGTATTTTTATTTCTGGCTTTCTAAGGAAGTACCAGATCGTTTTCCAAAATGGTTGTATCATTTTACATTCCCACCAGCAGTGCATAAGAGTTCTGATCTCCTCACAGCCTCTCCCAACATTTGTTATTTCCAGTTTTTTTTTGATTCGTGCCAGTAATGCCGGGGTGAGATGGTATCTCATTGTGGTTTTGATTTGCATTTCTCTAATGGCTAGTGATCGCGAGCGTTTCCTCATGTGTGCCCCTTGAATGTCTTCTTTGGTGAGTGTCTGTTCATTTCCTTTGCCCATTTTTAAATTTTTGTTGTGAAGGTGCTGGATTTTCTTGTAGATTTTAGAGATTAGACCTGTGTCTGACTTTTAACGTCCGAAAATTTTTTCCCAGTCTGTAGGTTCTCTTTTTACTTCTTTGGTGAAGTCTTTTCATGAGCATAAGTGTTTAATTTTTAGAAGATCCCAGTTATCTAGCTTATCTTCTGGAGTTTTTGTGTGTTGTTGGTTATGGTTTGTATCCTGTTAATGCCGTATATTTGGGCCTGTGGTGTTGATCCGATTTTTTCTTCTATGAACTTTATAGTTTTTGGCTTTATATTTAGGTCTTTGATCCATTTTGCATTAGTTTTTGTATATGGTGTGAGGTATGGGTCCTGTCATTTTTTTGCAGATGGACATCCAGTTTTGCCAGCACCATTTGTTAAAAAGACTGTTCCCCATTTGATGGACTTTGGGCCCTTGTTGAAAATCAGGTGACCGTAGGTGGATGAGTTTACATCTGGGTTCTTAATTCTGTTCCGTTGGTCAGTGTATCTGTCATTGTACTAGTACCAGGCTGTTTTGACTACCATAGCTGTATAGTAGGTTCTGAGGTCAGGTAGTGTGAATCCTCCTACTTTATTCTTCTTCTTCAATAGTGCTTTACTTATGGGGGCTTCTTCCCTTTCCATATAGTTAATGATTAGTTTTTCCATCTCTTTGTTGGTATTTGGACCAGGATTGCATTGTATTTATAAATTGCTTTGGGTAGAATTGTCATTTTCACAGTGTTGAGTCTACCTATCTATAAGCATGGTATGTTTTTCCATTTATGTAGATCTCTTTTGGTTTCATGCAGTAGTGTTTTGTAGTTTTCTTTGTACAGGTCTTTTACATCCCTGGTTAGATTTGTTCCTAAGTATTTTATCTTTTTAGGGGCTATTATAAATGATGTTGTTTTCCTGATTTCCTTTTCATCATTCTCTTTATTGGTGTATAGGAATCCAACTGATTTTT